CCTAACTCGATATGCTCGTTCTCCAGCACTGTTACTTTGTTTTTATGCATGCTTTGATTCAGGTTAGGTGGTACTGAAACCAGAAATGCTAACAGCAAACATGCACTGCATTATTTAATGGCAGTAATTTTATAAAATAATTACATTCTCTCATCCATTGGGTTCTAAAATTAAGTGAACTAGAAATGGTATAAGGGATTTCAAGAAATAAGATTACATTTCGTGAAATCTCTGTAATTAATCATTTCTGGCAAATAAATTTATAAACATGAATTTGAATTTGTGTTTTGATGGATTTAAAACAAAATATACGCCAAACTTCTTTTGACAAAGTTGCGGTAAATAATTTGAATGGTTATTTTTACAGTATTTCCTAATGTTTTCCTTTCTCAGAATAATCACCGCCGTCGAGCCTATAATATTTCAATATTTCACGAGAATTTCTTACCAACAATTTCAACTTGGAATAATTTAGCCGAATCACCAGCCGGATTTCGTGCCACACATTTGTAACTTCCAGCATCCATAATACGTGATTTTAAAATATGCAACCGTCTTTGATCATCCGAAAGAACGATATTTACATCGCTCTCCGCTATTAAATGATCGTTCAAATACCATGTGATCTGAACTGTGAGTGGACAGTGAATGAATCATTAGTGCTTTAATTAAATGGCTAAACGAGAAGGGTCAAATCGGGAGAGATATTTATATCTGTCCTTCATGTCCAGTACATGTTTCTCACAAAAATCTTTTAAAACATTCTTTAAGTCTTTTAAATTCTGAACACTTATGAAATGGTTGTCTAATTAATATAACCTTCATTTAAATCTCCAGAAAAAAGGAGGAAGCAAAAAAAGCACCTGTGGTAGTGGAATGGAGAATACTGGACAATAAAGGCTGAATGGCTGACCAATAACAACTGTTTCTGTCACAACCGTTCCTTGATCCGGAATATCAGGTGGAACTATAAAGTATCACTTTTGTTTCATAAAGTAAGAAAAAACTGAAGAGGCATGTAAATATGGTAGTAAATAAACCAAAAAATAACAACTTGAAATTCTAAGTGTTTAAGGAAACAGACCAAAAGTATGGATGATTTGATTGACATGAAAATTCAATTATGAATTAAATTGACATTTCGCAGCAAGAATAATCCTTTTCAGTCATTAATTTAGAACACACACAAGCAATAAAAGGGATCTCTTCATTTGAAAGAAAATTCCGGAATATTTTCATAAACAGTAGCACAGTTCTTCTGACATACCGTCACAAAATTACTAACTGAAGACACTTACTAATAACAGCTAACCGGACCACCTTTTCCGTATCACCAGCAGCATTGGATGCTTTACATATATAATGACCGGCATCATCATTCTCCACATTATCAATGATCAAAGTACCATCATCGTTAACATGCATGCGCGATATATCATCTGATATCGGTATTCCCTTTCGACTCCATGTTATGGTTGGGGATGGATTAGCACTAGCAAAGCAGCGCAATTCGATACGATCACCTTCTACAGTGGTGTAATCCGATAATGTACTCGGTGAAATTGTTGGTGGTTCTAAAATTAATATCTTTTTGGTGAAATTTCAACAAATTTTGGAAATTTAATTAATTTCGGAAAATGCAAAACAAAAAACAAAATTTTCCAGTAACCTTGCACAATTACGATTGTATTCCGTTCATCATGTCCAGCTGGATTTGTTGCAATACATCGATAAATTCCATGATGCGACGTTTGCGCTTTTTCGATACGTATTGTTCCCGCCGAATCAGTATGAATAATATCATCCGGAATGATCTAAATGAACACATTATGTATGAACAAAATTTTAAATGCAAGATGCTATTGTCGGAAAAACTCCGAAAATCATGATGCAAATTTCCTGTCGGATTACCGAAATTAAAGCTACATTCAAATAAAATTTCCACAATATTCAACAAACGGAGTAACGAAATCTTGTAAGTGAAATTAAAGCAATGAAGGGGATATAAGCTAACAATGGACAGCGTAAAACAAAGACGTCTCAGTACCTATACAATGGACAGTGCTAAAGGCCAGCCATACATACCTCCATGATAACCCCGATGGACCTTACAAAACTCCTCCCCATTCCTTATATATTTATGAAAAAATCCCGAGACAGACAGTTTTCTTTTTTTTTTTTTTACTAACCGAGCAGGCGGTAGATCCTCTTCGCTTATTCTCCACGACTGAACCACAAACAACGACATCTTCGCATATCCGCCACCATTGGACAACAAACTACGATATTCTTCTATTCACTAAATACACATTTCCCGTAACATATTCTCAATTAACCGACAGTCAAATTATTGTCCAAGGCAACGAGAAGGAGTTTGTGAGTTGATCATATTACTTGCTTTTTGTATAACTCATTTACCATTGCTTCCCAATTCATTGTTTAATATACATATATATTTTATACCCTTTTTCTTGTTGTTAACTAGTAATATTGTACAAGAACAATATTACATCCCGAATAAATTTGTATCGCCGAGAAAAGAGTTCAACAGAAAAACAATTTCCCAACAGCTATTATCCCTTAGAAAATGTCATATTGGTGATAACTCAAAGTGATTGGCAGCGATTAACTGTGCTGTTATTTTTTGTTGGTTACGGAAATCCGTTTTACTATTTCCGGTTTATCTATTTGTCTTCAGTTTGGTAAAGTTAACTAAAAGTGTAAGATGGTGCAAAATCATGCCAAACGAAGGAAAAATGATTATTGCAAATGAATTTCCAAAGAACGATGAAAAAAGCTCACCTGGAAGCCATCTTTTTCCCAGGTAATCGTTGGTTCTGGAGTTCCAACAGCACGACAAGGAATTTCTAACATAAGACCAAGAACCACAACAATAGTACCTGAAATAAATTGACAGAGCTAAACTTAATTACTCACTGATAAGTTTTATTATTTAGTCAAAATGATTGTTTTGTTAATTTCATTGGAAAAATTTCAAACCTGGTATATCAGATATAATTTTTGGTGGTTCTTGTACCTTCACGAGATATGTTATACGATCATCGCCAGCTAAATTGGATACATGACAGGTGTATCGACCCGCATGATTCATTTGAGGAGTTGCTATTTCTAGTGATCCGTCATGCGTATACTTCATCTCCTGAAATTACATTACATTTGCGTAAGTGAATTTTAATAGAAATAATATGATAAGTTGAAGTTGGATGATAACTTAAACAATGTGAAGTAACAACTTAAAGTGGGAAAGAAAGAAAGGAATGATTCTTAATAAGATACCTTTCCCTAGAAGTTACTTTGTTCTTCGATTCATTCAGTCAGCTTAAATTAAAATTAAGTTCTTCTACTCCCAATATATTTCCTTCCCTTCTTAGAAGCAATTAATTTAAGATAAAAGATGAGCTAATTGATAATAACTAAGCATAGTCTAACTAAGCAATATAATCGTTCAGAAGTGAAATGAATGACTGTGGAAATACTAACAGATCCATGGCTATAACCATCATAGATCCGATCACCTTCATAGCTCCACGATCTTGAAGGTAATGGAAAAGCTCGTGCAGGACATGGTAGTAGTATTGATTGATTAACATTCGCAATTATTACCTTCAGCTGAAATAAAAATTAGTTAAAACTCACATTTCAGGAAATGACCTTTTCCTTCTTCATTTGACAAAATAAAAGAATTTCTGAAAAAATTTCAATTCAAATTTCGCGTCACCAATTAATTCTTTCCTGTATTTACATGCTACAAAGCAATCTCAACCTTTATTTGACCTTAATAATTGACCTCAAACTTGATCAGATCCCTCAATGTAAAAAATAAAAATAAAAAGTAAACCTGATCGGATCCCTCAATAATGGGAGCTGTATGCACCGTCAAACTGATTGTTTTTTCATCCTTTCCAATATTATTCGATGCAACACATTTAAACTGTCCACGATGCAGCTCATCAACACTTTCAATGGTTAACGAACCATCCTTAGCTATATGACCATCTTTAAATTCTTCACCATTCAAATACCTATCAAGTACGAACTGGTTAACTTGACTAGAGATTGCAACATACATCCCGAGAGATCTCAATTTCTGTCTCATTTCAATTTACCTATAATTTCATATTGATACGCAAATTTTAATTATGATCAAAATAAATTAGGTTTGAACTATTTTTGTTTATTATTGTTTATTTATTATAAACTAATATGTTTCGAATTATGCAAAATGAAATGAAATGAAGCAAATCCGTTACCAAGTGATCGTTGCGGCAGAATCACTTCGAACTTCACAAGGCAATGTGATTGGATTGCCCTGAATTAAATTATAAGAGATTTGTCCGGGTTCAATAACGGGTGGACCGAGAATGACCACATCAGTTGCTATCTTTGCTTCACCCGCCACATTAGAAGCTGTACAAATGTACTTCCCTGAATGGCTTACGCTTGTTTGGCCAATCCTCAATGTGTTATCAGGCTAAAATACATTTTAAAAGTTGGAAATAGAGCATCGATTATTAAAGATTTGTCTCATGATGCTTCAGAAATTCAACAAGATGAAATGTTGTTACACACTACTTGAAACTTGAAGAAGTTAATTTCAATTTGTTGATGAGTTAAAATTCAACGGTAAGTTTTTTTCTTCTATCATCGGAAAGGAGAGAACAGTGTAAACTTAATTATGAATGAATTAAATTAATAAAGACTGTAAATCTCATTCAATATTCATGAACTGACCAGAATCTCATACTCTTGATCACTAGAACTGATTGGTTTACTGTTGATGCTCCAAACCACTTTCGGTTGTGGTTTTCCGGTAGCACGACACGGGATTTCCAGTGCCTTCCCCGTGGATGTCGTATATTTCAATGCATCATTCTTCTCGATATTGGGCTTTTCTAAATTCAATTAAAAATATTCCACAAATTCGCGTACACATCTATTAAAAGCATATAGGAACTATACACCAGCAAATGTACACCATAAACACATCCACACACACACACACACACACACACATACATACACACACACACACACGCATACACACACATCTTGTCATATTATTGTGGGAGCCGCGATCGTTTCAAATTCGAATTAATTTGCTAATAAACAAAAAAAGCCAAGTATTTTAAACTATTTCAGTATTTATGATTGTAAATGCTCAAAAATCCTATTTTCTAAGTCTTCAAACCAGAAATTACCGTCCTTTAATTAGGAGGTTAATTGGAGAAGGTTAACAGTTGACATTGCTTCATCAGGATAGCAATTTACGATCATACCATCCTATATTTATCATGCAACAAATGAAAGAAACGTTCATTAAGAAGACGGTAATTATGATTTGTGATTAATTAATGATATGAATGTATTCCAGCAGTATAGGAATTTAGGGAATTTCATAAATGATATCAAAGCTGATAAATGATAGAAAATGTTCAATTAAGTCCTTCCTTTGAATTAATCTATTGCGCTGTTCTGTAATTCACTACTTAGTTTTTCAAGCTTTTTTTTAAAAAAAAGTAAGCGCAAAAAGCACTCTACACATATGACCGTTAAGTGTGACAAGTTTGTGCTAATATTTGAGAAAAAATGAAGATGAATGGAAAAATTAGCAATGCTGCATTATTGAGCGTTTTGAAAGATGCCAGGATAACATTTTTAAGTTAATTGACTTCTTTTGCACAAGTATTTTTTAAATGACTAACTAATCAACTCGACATTAACATTGAGAGAGGCATTGCCCGCTGAATTTGTCGCAACGCAAGTGTATCGGCCTTCATCTTGTGGACGACCTTTGCGCAGCAACAGAATGCTGCCTCCTGATTCTATCTGTAGAAACGTTTGCTTTACACTCATGAAGTACCTGGCGGAAATGTCTCATCATAATGTACATGGAAGAAGCCAAGTTCTACTGGAGAATGGGAATTAAAGGAACTTGGTAAAGGAAATAAAAAATTGCGCGCTGGAAGGGTGATTCAAGAAGTGTGCATATCAACTTAAATAAAATGAGCTTATTTTATTGATTTGCTTTTTAATATTGAAAAGCTTACCGTAACATAAGCAGAAGATCGTAATGGTTTGCCATCTTTATACCACTTGAGAGTGGGCTTTGGTGTTCCAAGAACAGCAATACAAGATAGACGAAGTTCTTCACCCTCTATCAATTTCCCTTCTGGAGGCACATGCCCTAATACTGGGCTTACTGAAACAATGATTTCTTGGCCAAGTAATGTATGCCAGAAAATGCAATCCGTATAAGTCTTTGGATTCTTCTTGCATTCAACTAACTTTACTAAAGCCTTAGATTACAAAAATAAATAGCTCCAATGAAAAGATCCAAAAATTCAAACTAACCAAGTCCAGTGACCAGCAAAACAGTCGTTTTATCTTGACGGCCAAATATATTCTCTGCGGTGCACGTGTAACGATCCTGGTCATCGACTTGAACATCTGTAAATTTGATGTCCCGGAAATTCAGATATAATTGCTGTAGAAAAATAAAATCATAACAATATGATTATTCGTACTATTAATGAGAAGACTTCCATCTGGAAGAATTTTGACTCGAGTAGTCAGTTCCTCAATTGGTACTCCATTACGGTGCCAGGTAATTTTAGGTAGAGGATATCCTATTGCACGACATTGAAGTGTTACTGATCGTTCAATGTTCACTCGTACTACTTCCGGAGTTGGTACAATTGTTGGCATACCTGTAAAGTTATTTCTACTCTTTTTTCAATTTAAAAATCTTCGATTCATTTTTGTTTATATATATGCATAAACTATGACTTTCAGTTACGCATGCCAACGTATCATCACGTCGTAATAAATGTAAATTCCACGTAGTTTATTTACATTGCTTATTGCTTAGCAAATAACTTTTTTGAACAAATATGAACTTGGAAAAATGCACACTTCCAACATCAAGATTGATTATTCCTAGATCACGCCCAGCCAAATTCTGCGCAACACACGTGTACGATCCGGCATCAGAATCTTGTACTCCCTGTAGATATTACAAAATATATTGTCATCATAGGATCACTTCAAAAATTGCCTTCATGAAGATACTTCTTGAGAAACAACAAAAAAAGGAAAGTACCTGAATAGTGAGTTTGTTTTCGTCAATCGTAATATACCTGTAACTTGGAACTTCATGTCCTCCACGGAACCAAGTGATTTTTGGTTTTGGATTACCTTGCTCTATCTAAACAAAATATTAAGTTAAACAAAAGAGATTAAATCAAGTCTCAATAGAATAAAGTACGATTGTTCGATTCAAGCAAAGTTAACTTTTATCAGTCGTAATAAACTTAGACAAATATGCAAACAATGAGTGAGTAAGTATCTTACGACGCATTCCAACGTGACACGATCACCTCTGCCAATCATTTGTCGATCACGAATAACACGAATTTTTGGAGGAGCTGCAGAATTTGTTTTAAAACATCATTTTTATCGTCATGTTTAAGTTAACTTTACACATGTATTTAAAATGGCGGTAAATTGATAAGCACTTATTAACAAATGCGCCTTTCTTTCTTTCCTAACTTATCCAATCCATTTATTAGTTGGATTGTCAAATAAAATTAGAGAACACCGAGCTATCAAATTTTATAAAATTCATTTGGATAGTACTTGACATTTGCGCAACTGTATTATCTGCATGAGAACCGGCAACATTACTCGCACGACATTCATATATTCCGGCATCACTTTCCGTTGCTCGTTGCACAATTAGATCATCTACAATAAAATCATTTTGACTGATTAGTAACTTTTTGTAAATTTCGAAAAAAAGATAGAATAAACTACAAACATTTGTAAGTGATGTAATATTTCTGATGGTCTGGAATGATTCGATTTCCTTTAAAATACCATTCCGGTTCCGGAGGCATATCGTCTGAAAGCTAATTTTTGTAATTATGACACTAAAATTGGACACGTCTTTTGTAAATAGCTGAATCTTAAGGATTTATATACAAAATAAAAGTTGCTCGTGTGGTTCCTTTGATCATATACACGTTTCATTTAGTTTCGAACTCGGTTTATCAATAATAAACTTAAACAAATAGTATTTTATCAAAAGATACCTCCATCAACAGAACAGGAAACGTTAAATGACTGCTCACGTACGAAATATAACTGCTTTGGTGTAACGTGAACTTTAGGAACTTCCAAGACACGTAAATGCATGATAGCTTCAGCACGACCTCCTGATGTTTGTACACGACAGTGATAAATGCCTGCATCTTGCATATTCACGTCACTAATCATCAAAGTACCATTAGCGTATAAACGCTGCAATTATTATTTGTGTTAATTAATGGAATTATTTTGTCCGTAAAAGAGAGTATGACAAGTTAACGTTTAGAACTAAAAAATAATTAAACAGCAACTTGGACATTTTTCTGTAATGAAAAAATGTTGTTTGATCTTTATTCATCTTGATGACCTATGACCTGAATATTAATTATATCTGCATACATCATTCTTTAATTTAAATGGTTATACCGTCTTAGCCGTATTGCCAATTACTGAATCTTTTTTCAGCCACTGAATTATGGCGTTCAAATTCTGAGTGCGACAATGCAAAAATGCTAAACTTCCTCGTGCTACTGATTCATTCCGAATGAATGTTATCTCAGGAACTGGTTCTAAAATAATTTTAAAAAAAATAAATTTGAAAATTAAAAGAAACAATTGAAAATGTATCATTAAGAAGGAAGAGGACATAATCGGGTCAGTATCGTTCATCCAATCAATAGATTGAAGTTGGTTGAAAGTTGGACAGAGTGATCGATGAAGAGCCAAAATATTTCATGATTACTATCATTACTATTTGTCATCCTGTAGTATGACTACTGTACAGACAGGTATTCTGGGCTATTAAAGTAAGTTCACTACTGAAATTTCATGTTGTTGAAACTCTGCGAAAAAAGTCGCAAATGAGCAGAATAAAAAAGCAAAATTAAATTTTTAAATCAAAATTAGCGCAATGCATCAAATTATGAAAAATGGTTTAATTCAAATTTAGATAATCCATGGATAAGTTTAAAAGAAATAAGACTGAATATAACCTTCTATTTCGAGAAATGTGGTAGCAGTATGATTTCCAGAGGAGCTACTAACCACACACTGATATTCGCCGCGATCCTGCGGGGTAATTGCATCAAAAGTCCAAACAGATGTATCCGAATATCTGTCAAGTTGAATTTCTTGATGGTTGATAAATTGCTGGGATTTTTTTAATCAAAATGAGACGAACTTTAACAATAATTTTATGAAAAAAGTAAACTTACGGATAGAAAAGAGGTTCGCCAATTTGTTTGTTATCTTTGTACCAGTAAAGTGTAAATTCACCTTTTGAAACTACTGAACATGTCAAATTGAACGACTGTGAAACGATCGCTGTCAATCGATCAGCCATATATGCTCTAAGTTGAAATATACCAGATGTTTCAAGGTATGAGAGTTATCAAAACAAAATGATCAATAAAAGGAATAAGAGGAAACTACTTCTTGTATTTCATCAGAAACCAAATATGATGTATTCTCAAAAAAAAAAGAAAAAAGTCGTACCTTGGTCCAGTAGTTTTTACGGCTGAAATTGCGGTAGGAGCGATTCGCTGAAACTCGTATGATCGATCGTCTTCACCTCTTACACGAACAAAAAATAATCCAGTTGGTGGTACAAACGGTCCAATATAGTATTGATAAGGATTTGGCATATGTATCGTAGCTGCTTTTGAGAATAATTCCTTCCCGTAGTAATCCACCAATGAAATTTCGGTAACCATACCTGGTGCGGCTAATCCTTTCATATTGACGATCAGATAGGTACTTTGATGTGCGATTGGTCGTGGATGTGACTGAAATGTTCGACACACTAATTCGAATCTTAATTTTGGAGCAATTCTCATATTTTTTCAGGTTGAAAAAATTAGCTGAAAATTCGGAATCAAACAAAAGTTTCAATTGGAGTAATTTTTACACTTACCAGTTCCATTTTATCGACTAATTTCACAGCAAAACCGTATTTGAAATCAATAGCACCATGACCGAGAACCCGTAGAGTATGTTTCAAACGACTTGATGTACGTATTTTCCAAATTCCTGGCATAGGATTTCGAATCCGGATCAGTTTAATATTGCTCAAATCAATCGAACCACTTTCATTACTGAGTTGAGCTCGATCTAGTCGTTCACCTGTTTCATTTTACTCTTTGAATTTGAATAGATATTATGTATGATTGATTAATATTTTTAGCAATGATTGATTCTGTTAAACGAATTGCTTAATATCACTTGAAGTATGCTAAAAATTACCTTTAGGATCAATTAAACTAATGTCCAAATAACTTCCATCATCCTTATCGCCTGATAATGACACCGTTAATTCAGTAAGAGACCTATCAACAGGTATTTGACATAAAGATGTACCACTATGGTCTCTAACTTCATACATTATGTGAACCTGAAAATATCATAAAGTTTCCTGGCATAAAAATTGAATTATTTTTCCGGATATATGTTCATCAGAAAATTGAGAGAAAGCTTGGATTGTATTATTTAGAGATGAAAACTTTTCAATTTGAAAAATTCCATTTGAAAAGTTTGTATAGGTATGTTCATTGCTATCCGTAAATTCTAATGCGACCGGAAGGATAGACGGAAAAGACCTCGAATTTCAGTTCAACTTTACAAAAATGACCTTTTTTAAGGTGATCGAATGGCGGACATAATTGAGTACTTTGTTGATATCTGTTTTCTCCAAGTGAAACACTTGTCCAAAACCAACAGCAGCTATTCTTTCATAGCATTGAAAACCAGGATGTGTACGATTGTTGCAGTCGCCTGTCATCACAAACACTACCTTAACATAAATCGATTAATTAATCAGGTAAACAATACAGATCAAACAAATAAATAAATTTATCAAAACAAATGTTATCTATCTCTATTAGCTAATAATTTTTCTCAGAATATAAGCAAAAACTTAATTACAGCAAGTTTCATTTCCTTATGTACACAATGACGTTTCTCAATTTATCAGCGCAAAAAGATTGTTAGGATTGGATGGCGCTTTGCTGTCTTTTTCGAATTAATCTTCAAAAATGGTTTCCATTCTAACTAATTATTTGGATAATTTTAAAAAGTGTAAATCAGATTCCGAACAATATCCAGCAATTTATAGCGGATTGTTTCATTTTATTATATATCACAAAAAAAAAAACAATCCTTCCCTATCACAATACTACCATCAATCGTAGTCTGGATATGCCTACAGGTTCCTTTTCATACTCATGTTTTGGTTACTCTAAAGAAACTTACAGAACTCTGTTTTTCCTGAATCAAATTCACGATCTGATCTTCTAAATGATAATCTTTAGCTCGCGCATCGGTAAAAACATATATAAATGATGCAGGCAATGAGGCTTTTAAGGCCATTTGAATACCTGAAAGTATTTGAGGATCCAGATAAACAACCGTTAGATCTTATTGTATGGCTTCTTTGTAACGGAACATACTTTATTTGAGAGACTGTAACTTCATATGGTAATTGTAATTCATAAAGGTTGATCAATAAAATATCAAAACTTTTATATTAATTCATCCTCAAACGTTCATGCTAAATTTCTTCTTGTTTTTTCACTTAGATTACTTTTCATAAAAGTATTATTGCATTTGAAGTTATCAACAGTTCCAAAAAGTTAAGTGAACTAACCGCTGAGCGTCATTTCAGGACAATCACCGCCACCAACTACGTGTACAGAATTGAGATGCCGTTGGAAAGTTCTCGGATCCGTCGTAGAAAACACTGGCCCAACTCCTGAAATTTCACACTTATAAGAAATTCCGGAAATTTTAAAGACAAAAAAATAAATGCATAGAATTTGCGAGATAGCTCATACAATCATTAATATTAAATCAATTTGTAGATAGAAATTGATAGAACTGTGCGAAATGAGCGGTTCATTACTTATATTTTATCATTAATTAAAAGCTATTGGCGATAGATATCGCTATATCAATATAATTCAGATATAAAGAAGCAAGGTAAATGTATAAAAAGAGCAGTGAGATAGAAGTGAATTTAATTTATTGAAATTAAAGGTGAAATTTATTTGGAGAGAGTAACATGTACTCACTTATCTTACTCGAATTTGCATATCACTAAGAAATGAATTTTTGAAAATGACAATATAGAAAGTTTAGAAAATATACGAGCTAATTTTTCAACCATTCCATATCATCTTTTATGTTTTCTAAAGCACACGACATTTTTCATCTCTGAGTTTTCTGAATTATTCATTTGCTTTCCGTTTCCACTCTCAGACAAGTGAAACTATGGAAAACGGTTTACACTTCGTTAAATTATCCGGTTTTCAATGCAATATCTTTCTATGTGTCTGTATTCACTGAATCCGTTTTTCAAATGCTGAACCGATTATTTCGTTCGGAACCGATTTTCACAATCATTTTTGGTCAAACTAAAGGGTTTCTGTGCACAAAATTATTATCCTTCAAGTATTCATGTTGTTTAACATATAGTTCTGTCTTAATTACTTGACTAATGTATATTTAAAAACTTTTTTTTATAGTAATTAGTAAAGAGAGTTACTTGGATCATGAAAGGGTACGTAGACATAATTGTATATAAGCTTTTCACGCTGTTTGAGTACAGTATCCAGGATTTTTTTTGCGCCATCTTGCACTTGAATCAAATCATCATTCATTGATCCAGTCGTGTCGAAGACAAATGTTAGCGAAGAGGTACCGCGTGGCGCAGCTTTATCATGATTCCCTTGTCCTGTTACATCGTAATGACAATAAAATATTAGTATAAGTCTTATGAGAATAACATGAAGGCTTAATATATGCATCATAAAATTGAGGTACTTTGAGAGTTTATCGTTCCTGCTCCTATCGATACAACTCCAATTTTCCTGAAAAATACAAATTTCTGGATTCTACAGATGTCTTTTAGTAAGCGTTAAAATGTCAGATTTGTATAGAAATGAGTTACTAAAATAACAAGAGAAGTGTACCTAACACTGTCACATTTCAATTTTTAATTATGTCTTAAAAAGTAGATTTAAATGGTTGAAATTTTTTGAAAAATGAAACATTTCCAAAAAGCAATAAAACTGTTTTTTTTTTTTAAATCTTTTCTTCCTTGTTTACTTCTAATTGCTCAGAATTTTTCGCAATTTTATATTAGTTTTGCTTAATGAACACAACTGAATAGTGCTACGAATGAGAATAGCATAATTTTTCACTTTTTCCCTTCACTTCTTCTAGCTAATATCTTAATTAGTTGCGTGCTAATTAGCATTCGATTACATCTTATCCATCTCTAAAAAACAATAAAGCTGCTCAAATTAGTACCATAATAAAGCAAAGTTCATTTATTTCCAAATTAACATTCTTCAAAAATTTCAACCAAAAATGCTTTCATTAATTGAATCGAACAAAGTTTTATTATGATAAAATAGATTGAAATTGACTTTTCAGTATCAATCATCCATTATTTCTCAATGATAACACAACATACACTAATTGGCTCATTAGTTAATTAGAGGAGAAGAAGAAAAGAGAGCGAAGTGATTATTATGCAATTCAAATCTACGCTTTATAAATCAAAATTCTTAAATGATTTAGTGAAAGAATTTTTCAAATTTTGATTTTTTTAAGTAATATACAAGGAATATGCAAAAATTTTTATAAAATTACTGTATTAAGGGATATAAACTAAAATGCACTTGCATCTGCGTGCAATTAGCATGCAGCAAATCGTTCCATAATACAAAGAATGAACAAGAAAAATGCATAAAAGATGGGAATGAGAGTAAAATAGAATGCAATATCGGGCAGAGGTAAAATTTTGGAATTCATATCATTTAATCTAATCCAAACATAGATTAAGTCATTTTCTAACCATAATGAAAAATAATAATCAGCTGAAAAACAAAAATTGTAAATGATATGTCCAAATGATAAGTGATAAGGCATATCATGGTATATAACATCTTCATTATTTGTTCCGACATTGAATCAAGCGATAAAATATTATGTGAAAATAATCAAAACAGACTTTTTTGGGAAATCAATAAGGATGAATGAATGAGTGACATTTGTCGTTAGATGGTATTTTAGGTTAGGAATCCAAGTTCTCCCGGACAGGATCTTCTGATGAATGGTAGAAGCAGTAATACTAGTGGCAATAATCTCATCTATTTATCTTTTCCCTTTCGTTTTCACTTGCTTCCTTTCCCTTCCATAGTAATGTCCACCAGTGTTCAAATGTGTTGGGTTAATACCCCCGAAAATTAAAATCTCAAAACCACTGGTCGAAATATCTTAGTTATTATCTTACATCTACATCTACATCCATTACCACTGCATACAAAATATGCCAACTTTTCCAATGCTTTTTTCCCCTATAATTCTGGAAATGCTATGAAGTCGAGATTTCTTTGGGAAACAAAAACCTCAGAAACCCTGCATAATGCGGGTTTATTGCGCAAATCATACCAGGATAAGTGACGATTATGAGAAGAGAAAAGTAACAATACGTAAATAAGATATGTAAACTTTTTCGGTTTTATAATTAATAAATAGTAAAAAAAAAAGTGGTGGTAGAATACGGTAATATGTATAAATCTGATCAGGAAAAAGAATAGGGATGTAGCGATGTGTGAAGAACGGGTCAGGAAAAGGAATGAGGATGTGGTGATATGTGTAGATCGGGTTAGGAAAAGGAATGAGGATGCGGTGATATGTGAAGAACGGGTCAGGAAAAGGAATGAGGATGTGGTGATATGTGTAGAACGGGTCAGGAAAAGGAATGAGGATGTGGTGATATGTGAAGAACGGGTCAGGAAAAGGGATGAGGCGAAATTTGATAATCTGGATGTTCAACAGTGTAGTGGTGAGGTAACAGCGAGGTCATGTGTTCCTTCCGAACGCTTCTTTTTCTAATCGAACCAAATGGCTGTAACTCGGTGATAAATGATTCCTTCTGGCTGACTCAATACTTTGTTCATTTCAAATAAACATAAATGCATACACATACACACACATACATACACAGACTCATTAATCAGATGTTAGACTAAATCTTCTTGTCATAGTAAAAATTGCCTGTAATTTATCCATAATTTGAAAAAGTTAGATTATTTGTTACATTTGCTTTCTGTTTGCACTCATCCCTTTACCTGTTAATTAATTAACCTATGCTTAACTATCGCTGTTTATTTCTTGCTCATTTGTACCAACTATGCGCACTTTTTGATTATTCATTAGTCTTATTCATTCATTCGTT